GCCACCCCAGACCCAGGACAACAAGGCGCAAGTGCATATGCCCAATTTGGATGGCCCAGCTCTGAGCCAGTACCCCATCCCTTCCCTCTCAGAGATGCTCCTGGAAGTCCCCTGGCCTCCTGTCCACCTCTCTCTCAGCTGAGGGAGTATTTAGCAAACCGACCCTCTCACCAGACCCCCTCCACCTGTGAAGGGCTCTCAGGGAACCCAAGGCATGGGGGCACCCTGTCTCAGGGCCCTCATCTCCACAGCCACCTGCTCACTTTCTAGGGCCTCTCTCCCTTATGCTGGAAGCCCAAATCCACCTCAGCACAGGAATCCCTTTCTCCTTCTGGTTTAGGGGGAACTCCTGCGCCCCCTCCCCTTTTTCTTACCTTACTTTGGTTTAAAGGGACAGCAGCCCCAAGTTACGCCTAGCCGAGGCTCAGCTGGTCCACTGGGAGGGGACGTCCACTTCTCAGGCCTGGTGAGTGTCTCACCTCCTCCCCTCACCCCTCAATCTCTGCCTCCAGTTACCATGTACACCACCCTCCTGCAGCATTAGACTGCAGGGCAGGTAGGCAGGGGCCTAGGGTAGGGAGGATCCTGGAGGAGAAACCTGTGATTCCTGGCCCTAAAAGGAGTCTTGCAGAACATCTAGTCCAATGGTCTCATTGTGCAGATGAAGAAAATGAGTCACAGCAGCTGGCCCCTGGCCAAGGTCACAGAGTCAAAGCCATCCAAGGTTCCCAGACTCCCCTTTTTCCTGCTCCATGGAGGAGGGGGAAAGGGGGGTGGAAGGTGCTGGAAGATGGATCCCCAGCCCTCGCACCTGGCCCCTCCTAGTCCCCTTCAGCGGTGCTGGGGGAAGGATGACCCCTGGACAATCTAGAAGCCAGAGGCCTAGGAGGTGGGGCAGGCCAGAGATGGGGTTTTGCCCCAGACGGGCAGTGTATAGAAGCTTCCAGAAAGACCCCGTGTCTGCCACCCCCATGCACTCTAATTACGGCTGCCTACATTTTCAGCTCCTGGCAGGCCCCGTGGCTAGTGCAATCGTCAGCTGTCAGGCTTCTCCAGGGAGCTCAGGCAGCTGCCTGAAGACTCTGGAGCTTTCTCTGATGCTGAGCCAGAGAGGGAGGGGCTAGCTCAGCCGCAGTCAACAAAGGCCTGCCAAGGGCAGGGCTAGTGTGGCCAAGGCCTCAGACAAAGTGCAAAGAGGGCTGCTCAGGAGCATCCCAGACTTTGAGGCTAGGGAGGAGAGGAGAGGAGGGGCTGTCTCCGATGCAGGAATCCCCAGACCATACAGTAGGCAATGGAGGGGGGTGGGGGCAGGGGCGGTAGGGCTATCACCTGCCCCTGTGGCTTCTGGAAAACCTCTGGGGGTGGAGTTGTCCTCCTGATCACTGAAAAACTATCCCTGGCAGCTCAGTGCCCCAGGATGCTGGAGTCTCCAATTGTCAAAGAACAATTGGGCAGGTGGGGAGTTAGGGGCCGACTTCCAGCCCTTGCTCTGCTAACCAAGCCCTGTGGCAGGTGCAGGGTATAACCTCCCGAAGGAAGCATGCCTGGTCAGGGCTGGAAGGGACCCAGAGAGCCTGACCCAACAGGGAACGCTTGGCTGCACACCTCCCTCTGTGCCCCACCCCGGGAGCCTACAACCCACAGCCCTTCCTGGGCTGCCTGGGAAGTCTCTTGCCTGATGGGTGGGGAATCAAGAGGGCTGATCTCCAATCCCTCCCCACCTTTACCAGCTTTGTCATCTTGGGGCACTTGTAACCCTTCATCTTCTCATCTGAAAAATGGAACTCTGATTAGATACTTTGAAGTGGTACGGCACATACATACAACTTCCAAAATTAAAGGCCCTCTCTTCTTAATAACAGGAGCACTTACTGAGCACCAGGCCCCTAACACACACTATTGCATTTGAGACTCACCGCAACCCTGCAGGGTAGGCGCATTCATTATTCACCCCATTTGGCAGATGGGGACATGTGGGCCCAGAAAGACCAGCAGAGCTTAGATTCACTCCCAATCCTGTCTAACCCCCAAACCCAGTTTCTTACCGCCACCCCCATCTCACCCAGCCCCGTGCTGCCCAGAGCCATCCACGCCCCTCCCTTTTGATTGACTGGATGATACGAAAGTTGTCCCTCAACATGGCCCCCAGATTCTCTATCAGCCCAGAACTAAAACAATTTCTGAGGCCAACTCTTCAGACAAAGATTGGACTGGACTGTGGGACATAAAGTGATACTCCTGAAGAGTGTGCTTCTTAGCTTAAGTAGATACATGAGACTAAATGGGCAGCTTCTGTCCGGAGGTAAGATGGGAAGGCAGAGAGGGTTAGGAGCTGGTTGAACAGACATGGGGAATCAGGGGTGGAAAGGAGGAGTGTGCTGTCATATTATGGGGAGAGCAATTAGAGTCACATAACAGTGCATGCATAAATTTTTGTATGGGAAAAAACAAAAAATATATAAAAAAGAAAAGGAGGGAAAAAAAAAAGTTGTCCCTCAAGAACTGACTCTCTGAAGATGGATGCGCATTCTCAGCCCCAGAGCAGGGGGTTGCTCAGCTTCCTCTAGCTGGGGCAGCAAGGGATGGACTCCCATGCCCTGGTTTCAGGCAAGATGAAGGGAGCGATGAAGGGAGTTGTGTGTTCAAAGGGCTGGCAGCCAGCAGGCAGACCCCACCCAGAGTGTGGCTGGGCCTGCAAGGCTGCACTTGAAAGCATCCTGACCACACCTGACAGCTCCTTCTAGGGTGGGGCCGTCCTAGGCTTCAGTCTGGGCCAAGGTGGACAGGCAGGGGCAGATGAGGGCCCTCCCTAGCTCCTGCTCTCATCTTGATTTTATAAAGCTAGGGATAGGTGGGGCTGGGCATGCTAGGGAGAGAAGGCCTGGGCTTCCTGAAGCTGAGACCCTTGGGGAGCAGCCAGTAGCTCCCAAATGAAACCCACTGGGCTCATGACATGATCTAGGAAGAGAAATAGGGCAGAGGTCAGGGGTCCTGCCTGCCTCCCACCTTGGGCCCTCCAGACCCCAGGAGCTCAGAGGCCTTTCCAGAGGTGACCTCAGCTTTGGGGCCTAGTCCTGGCTTTTCCCTAACAAGAAGCAGATGGGTAAGAAAGAGAGGTGTTTATGCATTCTCTTTTGAAGAGGAAACTGAGGCTCAGAGAAGGCATGAGACTTGTTGCCACCCCCAGCCCATCAAGCTAAGCAGCCTCGAGTCCTGGTTCCCATTCCCTCAGGTATCCCTGGAGTCTGGGCCTGGGCAGGGCAAGGCCTTAGCGGCCTTGGTGTAGATCCCCTACAGAACTGGCAGGAGGAGGGCCTAGCCCCAGCATAAGGGAGCAAGCAGAATGGGCTGGGAAACAGAGGGACTGGGGGACCCCAAGGCAGGAGCTCCACAAAGGTAAGAGCCCTGGATACTAGGGAAGCAAGAGGTCTGACTCTGCCAATGTTTCACTGGGGAGAGTAGGCAAGGCACGTACTCTCTGTGAACCTGTTTCTTCATCTAAAGAGTGAAGATAATAGACCTCAGTCAGGGGAGAAGGAAGACGGGAGAGACTGGGATATTAGGGTTACGGCGGGAACCTAGGGGCAGCATCTTCTCCCAGAGTTGAAAGTTGATGGGACATGGATCCCATAGGTGGTCAGATAGAGGGGTGGGGTCAAGGGGCAGATCTCAGGGGCTCCCAGGAAACTTGAGCAAACTGTGCTTACCACCTAACCAGTTGCCACTGAGTGGACTCCAACTCATGGAGACCCCATGTGTGTCAGAGTAGAACTATGCTTCATAGGGTTTTCAATGGCTGATTTTTCAGAAGTAGGTTACCAGGCATTTCTTCTGAGGCTCTTCTGGGTAGACTCAATCCTCCAACCTTCGGGTTGGCTGTCGATGTGTTAACCCTTTGCACCACCCAGGGACTCCATCTGCCACCTAGAGTCCCTCTTTCCCTTTGCACTGTGGGAATCATATACAAAAGGGGCTTTGAGATCATAATATGTAAAAGGAGAAACTGAGGCTACAGAAAGGAGGAGCTTTGCCCCAACTCACACAGTAAGTCAATGACAAAGCCCAGACTAAATTTAAGATTGCTGCACTTCAGGCTCCCTGTCCAGTGCTTCTTGAGAAACAGATATAACAGGTGATTTGGCAATAAGCTTCCTCTGCCACCACCCTCTCAGGACCAGACCCGGGTCAGGGGAGAATGTCAAACCCACACATGCAGCTCCTTTGCAACAGGGCTGGGGCGTGGAGGCAACAGAGATTCCTACACGCTCTCCTTCTTCTTCCCTCTTTTCCATTTCAAGTAGATAATAATATTATAATTAGCAATCATTATGTACCAGGCCATGGGCTAAAGTCCTTAAATGCACTAAGCCACTGAATCCACCCACCCAATGATGTAAGCATTATTATTACGTCACCTCCATTTCCCAGATGGGGAAACTGAGGCACAAACAGTCTCACTTCCACGAGCTGATACAATTAGGGGCAGAACCAGGATATGAGTTCAGGCAGAACCAGAGTCTGGTTCCCAACGACCACACTAGACTGCTTCCTAAGACATTGTATCACAGACACCGTGTGGTTCAAATCCTGGCTCTGCCACTTCCTAGTTGTGTGGCCTGGGACACGTAACCCCACCTCTCTCTGCTTGTCCTCCTTAACAAAATGATGGGACTGTCCACAGACCGCAGCCCAGCGCTTTAGCGCCCAGGCCTGCGAGTGTCCGGCGGCCGCCAGTATCGGCGCTCCAGCCATTTGTTTTCTTTAACGAGAGAAGGTTCCCGATGTGTGGGCAGGGCATTCCTCGCCTCATCCCCGCCCCCGCCCCCGCTGGAGGAATGCAGGAGGAGGGACAGCCCCCAGCCCGTCATTGCCTTTAATAGAGACCTGAAACACCGCCTGCTAAAAATATCCGGTTGGAGACCCATATAAGCGCTAGCGGGTCCAGCCGCCCCATACTTCTCCGAACTTCAGCCAGACGCACCCAGCCGAGCCGAGCCAGCATGACTGAGCGTCGCGTGCCTTTCTCGCTCCTGCGGAGCCCCAGCTGGGACCCTTTCCGCGACTGGTACCCGGCCCACAGCCGCCTCTTCGACCAGGCCTTCGGGCTGCCCCGGCTGCCCGAGGAGTGGTCTCAGTGGTTCGGCCACAGCAGCTGGCCGGGCTACGTGCGGCCGCTGCTTGGAACCGCTGTGGAGGCCGCCGCGCCCTTGGCCGTGGCCGCGCCTGCCTACAGCCGCGCGCTCAGCCGTCAACTCAGCAGCGGCGTCTCGGAGATCCGGCAGACGTCCGACCGCTGGCGGGTGTCCCTGGACGTCAACCACTTCGCCCCCGAGGAGCTGACGGTCAAGACCAAGGACGGCGTGGTGGAGATCACCGGTAAGGCCTCGCTTCCCGGCAGGGGGAGGAAATTAGTGCAGCCAGCCTGGGGTGAAGAAATAGGCGGGGGTAGGGGCTGGTGAAAGAGTGGGCGCGGGGCCTGTGGAGTTCGAAGTAGCCAAGGACCAGGAGCTGGGCCGCCTGCCTTGGCCACCCCTCCGGTCTGTTTGGCCTTCTGTGTAAGGGGGTAGCTCCTCAGGGCCCCTTCAGCTCTAAAAACGTTCTATTTAGGGAAGAAACACCCCTTCCATCAGCAATTCCGAGCCCCACTCCCCAAATAATCAGGCTTGTTTGCGCCCCACCGTGCCGTGCAGCACCCAGCGGGCTGTTGGCGTGTAGAGGGGACGGTCCGGCGCTGCCGCTGCCCCTGGCCGGGTCCCTGCTGGGGGCGTGCAGGTGCGCAAGTGCCTGCAAGGGCCTGAGCCGGCGCCGAGCCCCCACGGTCAAAAACACCGGAACGAATTTTCCAGAACCCTCTGAGGGAGGTCCCGGGAGAGGCGGGCCCCCAAACCCCCCAGTCCATCAGCGTCTGCCTTGTGCCGCAGCCACCTAGAGCAGGCCGCGGGGCCTCTGGGCGGTGTGGGAGTGTGGGTGCCCAGGAAGGGGGACCATGCCCCGCAGCCTCTGACCACCTCCTCCCCACAGGCAAGCATGAAGAGCGACAGGACGAGCACGGCTACATCTCTCGGTGCTTCACCCGGAAATACACGTGAGTCCTGGTGCCAGATTGTCAGGGAGGTGGGATGAGGGGGCTTAGGCAAGGGAAGGGGCTAGTGGAGGGTGTGGTGCCTACCTTGTGTAACTCTTGTCCTCTCTTTCTGCATGCCCAGGCTGCCCCCGGGTGTGGACCCCACCCTGGTGTCCTCCTCCTTGTCCCCTGAGGGCACACTCACTGTGGAGGCCCCGATGCCCAAGCCAGCCACCCAGTCTGCTGAGATTACCATTCCTGTCACCTTTGAGGCACGTGCCCAGCTTGGGGGCTCAGAAGCTGGGAAGTTGGAGCAGCCTGAAGCCAAGTAAAAGTCTTGACCCTACTGCCCACACACCGCCATGCCCCAGTAGCTGTCACTGGCCATCCCCACCCACCAATCTGTATGCTCTTTTGATACATTTACCTTCAGTTTTTCTCAAATAAAGTTCAAAGCAACTGCCTGGCACAACCTCAGACTCTGGTGTTTGTGGAGGCCTGGGAGGAGGGAAGGTTAGTACCCCGCTCACTCACACACACACTCACACATTCATCAGATTTGCTGAGAGGCTACTGACAGCCAAGCCCTAGGCTGGACCCTGGGGATATAGTGTATGTGACAGGACACAGCCCTGTCCTCAAGCCCCATAACCATTAAGAGAGGGGTAATGCCTGTAACCAGGCAATTAAAACCTAAAGGGCCAGGTGTGGGACAGGGGAAACCAGGAGGGGCAGTTGACTCAGGCACACAAAGACAGCTAGCCTGGGGTCAGGTGAAGGGGGGACAGAGCAGGGCTGGGGTAGGGGAGCGTCCTGGGAGCTCAAAGTCCCTTCCTGATGTCATTATCCCGCAGAGAGGGGCTGGACCATGCAGAAGGTGTGGCAACTCCAAAATGGCTTTCTGAGGAGGGTGGGGTGGTGGCCTCATCAAAGCACCCCGCCTCCCACCCCTCTATGCCCAGAAATGCAGGCTGAGGCTTGCAGAGAGTGAGGGGAGTGTGGTCTCCAGTTCTGGCTGAGGAGGGGCCAAAGAGCCTGACAGGGAGGATGCTGGGCCCAGGAGGGCCCACCTTGCCTGGCCCAGCCAGGAACCTACCTCAGTCCTCTCTCTTATCTGCCTGACCCTACTGACCACCAGATAACATGGCCTAAGAGGGGTTCTGAGGGGCCTGAGGGAGACAGAAAGCAGGCTGGGGCTTTTGCAGCCCAGTTCTCAAGCTCCCTAAGAATCTGAGAGACCCAACCTGCCTCTGCAAGCTCAGTCCGAAAAGGTGAAAAGGTCCCAGAGCCTGAGGCTGTGGCAGGACACTCCCACATTCTCTTCTAAGCCAAAGCCCTACTTTCCCAGGGTTCCTGAGAGGCGCAGCCACACAGGGAAGGGCCTGGAGCAGACACACCCACACACTCCTGCCCAGCTTCTCCCCTCACTGTCTATCCCTAGTGCAGCCTGTTGTGATACCCACATCTGGAGCAGGCATCCATTAGCCAGAGCAAGTCCAAGCCCTCAGAGGCCTTGCTGGACCTGGAGGGCAGCCAACAGGGAAATAAACACATGGAACAAGAATTGTGCTGTCCCAAATGGCAGCATGGGTCTGGGCCTGTTGGCCAGAGCGCTGCCCAGTCTACCCACCCTTCCACCCACCAGACTGTGTTCAGGCCCATTTCTCAAGCTTCAGACCTGTAAGTCTGCTACCCGTCCTCCCCAACACACACACACACACACACACACACATGTGCACACACACACACACAAAGACACAGACACACACACATCTCAGGAATCTCCTAGATGCCTCCACACTCCTGTGGCCAGCACCCAGGGAGTCAGCCTGTCCAGTCCACACCCTCACTCTGCTTGCCAGTTCCAAGAGCCCCACCTCTTCCCCTGCACCTGGCAGCAGGGCCACCCTGACCTGTCAGTGAGAGCTTCTCTGCCTATACCCTCAGAGTGTGATGAGGCCAGTGCCAAGCTTTTGACAAGTTAATCCTCACATCAGCCCTGTGAAGAAGTATCATTACTCCTGCTTAACAACCAGCAACGGTGAGTCTCAAAGGGAAGGGACTTGCCCAAGTCCACACAGCAAGTCCTGGAGGGGGCAGGGGAGGCAAGATGAGCTGGGCGAGGGGGAGCTGGGCTCCTCAGCTTGCGGCGCCACCTGGTGAGGCCTGTAGGGCCCTCAGGAGGGGCCAGGGCTGGTCAGGGTGGCCAGGCTGCAAAATGGAAGAGCTGCTGGACGTCTCAGGGCCGTTGCACCTGGGGCCCACTGTGGGGTGAAGCCTATGGGCAAAAATCTAGAGGCAGCAGCTCTGAGTCCTGGGGGCCTTTCAGGCCATCAGCTGGGACCCGACTGGGGCACAGGGTAGGTGGGAGGGGAGGAATTCAGTGCTGGCAAAGGAAACAGGCCCTAATCTCCATAGGAAACTAAAGTAGGGAAACTGAGGCAAGTGCTTGGGCCACCCCGGAAGCAGGAGACAGAAGGGACATCTGAAGCTGGCCTGGCCCTATGCCAGAGCTCAGCTTACATGCGGGGTCTGAGGCGGCACCTCTGGGTTGGCGTAGGCTCTGGCTGGCAGGGGGTTGCTAGCCAGCCCAGGTCTGGGGCTCTGCGCTGGGAGGGGTTGGCACTGGGCACTCGGAGACGTGGTGAGCCCCTGCATGACTATGGTGGTGCAGAAGCTATTCTAGGCCCCCCAGGCCTTGCCCTGTCCTTTCAGTGAGTCCATTTCTAGAGGCCTCTGATGTCTTACAGGTCTGAGGATTTAGATATTGGCCTTGATTCAATGAATGTTAGCCTCTGGGCCCCTCTGCTCAGGCTGAGGGTGCCTAAGGGGCAATGCCCTGTGCCTCAGGCTCATGGTGAAGGCTGGCTAGTCAGCTCCCTTGAGGACCTCAAGTCCCTGAGGCTGCTGCTCACCCCTCACCCACCGGCTCCCCCAGGGATCCGTGGGGGGCACAAGCCACCCTCGGTTCCAGGTTGATCCCCGGGTGTCTCCTTAGCCTCGCCCTCCTCAGTTGTGAAATCTGCCCTCCTGGTGTGCACCTCCTCTGGGCCCAGCACCTAGCCAGTCAGCCCAAGTCCTGCTCTCAAGGGGGCAGGAGGAGAAAACAGCTCAGTGACCAGCAGCACTGTGCCCTTAGAGAGCACCAGAACGTCCTGGGGTCTTAGTGGAGGAGGGGGGTGGGAAAGAGGGATTTACAGAAGTGAACCTTGTGTGATAGCTCAGGAGGGGAATGGCATGAGCAAGTGTGAATGCGAGAGGAGTGGGGAATCCCTTCCTGGAGGGCACTGAAGGCCAAGCACAGTGCAGGCTACAGGGGGCATTGACGGGGTTCAGCAGGGCAGGGACCAGGCATGGTCCTGGCCTTTGGAGGAGAATGGACAAGAGGGGTAAGCCAAGAGGCTGGGCAGTGTGCTGCAAAGGGCGTGGGCCCCGCCAGGGGCCAGGAGGCTGACAGACTGGATGTGGAGGTACTGGGGGCAGGAGGCGGAGGGGCAGAGGAAAGCAGCTGAGGCCCTGAGTCACCCACCATGGTTCCCTGCCTGGAGCATGCTGACCTCACGGTCTCTGTAAGGTCAAGCAGGCCTGGGAAGTGAATTGTCTCCAGGGCCTGGGATCTTCATCATCCCTGCTAAGGAATCCACCTAGGGCTTTGGGGCCAGACTTAGACTGCTCCATTGAAGGAGTGGGATGAGCGCTGAGAGCCCGGGAGGGGTGAGGGAACCAAACGCTGCTCACAGAATGGCGGCAAAGGAGGAGGGGTGCCCCAGTGCTGGGTCCAAAGTGCGTGGCCAGAGCACCTTCATGATGGGGCAGTGGCAAAGGAGAAGAGGGTCAGGCAGGACTGGAGCTTCAGCCCCATCTGTCCCTGGGGCTGACAATGAGAAATCCCAGAGCCCTGGCCTGCTGGCAGCCACCCAGACCCTACTCCCCCCAGGTAGAGAATCCGGGTCACCAGGGCCCTGTCTGGTGGCCTTACCTTGGACCTCCCTCCACTTACCCCCCTCCCACCCTACCCCAAATGCACACTCAGGGACCTGGGCGTCTGGGACAGTCCCGAGCTCAGGATTGGCCCCAGGCCCAGCCCTGCACGGTGGTAAATAAGCTGCCAGCTCAGGACCACAGCAGGGAAGGGGGGAGCTACAGGGTGGTGGGGGGGCAGGCAGGCGAGGCCAGAGCTGGTCCTAGCCAGAGTCTGGCACTGATCTGTGCAGCTCAGAACCTGAGTTAAGCCGCACCCCATGCTGCTATCCCAGAGGTGGCCCTGGGGAGTGTGGGGGGTCCTTCTGTGGAGCTCCCTTGGGGCCCAGAGGGCATTTCAAGGTATAGGAAGCCGGAATGGCATCACATGACAGCTATGAGAGCCCCTAATCCGTAAATGTGCAAATTAGAAAAAGGCACCCCCTCCATGCCAGGGCCCAGGGCTTGGTGAGCCCCACTCACCCAGTGGGCACCTTTCCCAGAGATGGTCCAGCCCCACCTCTCACCACACAGAGGGGAACCCGAGGCCACACAGGAACTGCACTTGTCCAGGGTCACCCTGCAGGTCAAGGGCAGAGCAAGACCTGATTGCTCCCTGGGGTGGAGGAAGCTCAGCACAGGCCCTCGACCCCAAGGTGTATACTGGTCAATCCCTCGGCTGATGCCCCTGTGTGCCAGCCCTGAGGAGTGCAGGTTTTGGTGGGGAGACACACACTTGAGCAGGAAATCACTCCATCCCTGGCCGGACCCTCTTAGTCAGGGGCTCTGGGTCCTCTCCCCCTTCTCCCCTGTCTCCCTGGGTGACTGTACCTCACTGTGTACATCTAACTGTGCCTCCAAGGATGGGCCATAGTCTCATGGACTTCTTATGAGACAGCTCTGCCAACTGTAGTTGGTATTGGGAGAGTTGGCAGCACATGAAACATGTCAGAAGTCCCAGGCTTGGCTAAGGGACAGTTCTGGATCAACAACAGAATTGCTGGATGCTTCAGGTAGGAACATGGAGGGGGAATGAGCCCACCTGCCAGACAGCCCACCTCCCCCTCCACCGAGGGGCAGAATGAGGGCAAGGGAAAGTCAAATGCACGTCCAGGGCTCCCAACTCAAAGCCCAGAGAGAAAAGGTCATGTCTGGGGACCTTGAGGAAAACTGACTAGCCCTGGGGGAGGGTCCCTTTAGAATAAGGGCCCCTCCTGCCCTTCTTCCGGCCTGGCATGGACCCTGCCAGTCTATGTAGCAGACTTGATCAAGATGTAGCATGGGTGGTCCGGGAGCTGCTGCTGTGGAAGGAAGTCTGTCCCACCCCCACCCCAGAGCAGGACTGCCTGGTGGAGCCCACCAGGGGTTTGGA